CATCTGAGCAGCTCCCTGAGCCACACAGCAAGCCAGCCTCAGGGTTGCTGCTTGCTGCCCCGAGGCTCCCTTCTCTGGAGGCTAACACAAGGGAGAAGGGAGGCTTGGAGGGCCAGACAATGCTCTCTGTCTCTCTCTCTCTTCCTCCATCTCTTGGGCTTGCTCATTGTTTAACCTTCTTTCCAGCACTTTTCCTTTCTTAGCTGCCCCAGTCTCAATTATTTTCTCCAATTCATTTCATCCAGCAAAAGTAAGTTATACAGAAATAACTCATTTATGACTCATCAATTTTGTGTCATTTGATGGTCACAGTATCTGGCTTCAATCAGAGATAACTCATTCTCACCCACTATTAAACATAATTACTCCAGTGACATTTTTTAATTAAGGGCGAATCTATATGTTTTTTATGTCCAAAAGTGCCAACATGGAATTTTAGATGTCAGCTTTTCACTTGTCACAACAATTTAGCTTGGACAGCACTGGATTATTATTAGCATGTTTATGCACCCAAGAAACCCAGCAACCTCCTTCAGCCCCACCTGCTGTTGCTCATATTAAAGAGAGATCTGTGGGAAGCAGAACCCTGGCAGCAAACATGGCATGCCAATGAGCAGTACTCTGCAGTGCTGGTCACAGAAATACAGAGGATAAGATGGAGCTGCTTTGGGAATACAATTTTAAATAAGTTCTTTTGTAGCAGAGAAGGGAATATTCTTCCCCCCCTTCTTTGTTAAAAGACGTAAGGAATGGTGGTCAAATCAGTTTTAAGGCTCTTTTGTTTTTCTTTCATGTCAGCTTACATGTGTTCCTAAGGAGTGATAAAATAGTCTCAACAGCAACATCAAGTAAATGAGGCCGGGGAAGAAGCAGGACAAGAGCTTGGTAACCATCAACAACAGCAAAAATATCTTCATTAGCACATCACAGATATTCTTCATACTTGTGTGAGGCTGCACGACCTTGCATTCTCACTCGCAAACATGAGAGTGGCAAGACAAGTTTTATTTCAGATAAAACTAGCTCTATTTGATCACCAGCAACAGGAGGTCTCTGAAATTCCTAGCAACAGCAGCGAATGTGCAGCAGAAGCAGCAGCAAGAATTTTCAGGCTAGCTTTCAGAGTAGCCATGGTCAACTCCGTCTCAGACAGAGTATATTTCTGGCCTTTGCTTTTTGCAGAAAAATATCAAGCATCTCCTGGGGTCACCACCATATGTCAGGCAAACCACCAAAGCAGTCTAACCCAGCAGTGTGTTTTTATTGGTTTGCTGAAGGTAAGCTAAAAGCCTTATAAAACATTGCTCCAATTGCAGAATGCCAGCTGTTGGTAAAATCTGCTTTATGGATAACTCATTTTGCAGTTCCGAAGGCTGTGCTTCCATTTGCCTTTCATGAACCTGACGCACATGAGGAACTTTTCCTGCATACGCAAAACTGTTTTGTTTGTTCGTTTTTCTTTGCATTCTCAAATGATAATGCTGTTCTCTGTTTTGGTGTATCATTTCAGTTTTCATTGCCCCCACTCTTGGGCAGCATAATTGCATTGCACTAATTACCTAGACCAGGCTATGTCAAGAAGCTGCATCACTGGCTGCTCCGCTGCCTTTTGAGTGTCCATCTGCAATGAGTCTCAAACACCAACAGTGTATCAAGAGGGGGCTGAAGGGATCAATTGCAGAGTTTGCCTTGGAAATACGCCCTGCAGTTTGACTGTCAGAGGAAGCACGTTCTTCTGCTCCACCATTTATCTGAAGTTAACAGAGAGACACCAACACATGACAGCAGAGGATCCTGCTTGCAAAATGCCTTTGAAGGCAGAAATGGGAGCAAATGACTAAAGCACTGGGGATCAAGTTTCCCGGGATTTAGTCCCAAATGCTGTTATTTCCCTACATAACTTATGTGTGCTTCAATGTCTTTTCACACAGCTACAGCTACAACATCACCTGCCCACATGACGGGAGCATTAGGCCACTTCACTGCACAGAGACATGGCAATTGACACTTCTGGCAGAGAAGCAGCAAGTGGAAACGCATTATTACGTTGGTGGAATGGTAATTGCAAGCGGTTAAAACAGCCAAGCGCATACTGACAGGATCACTTTTGTTTAGCAAACAGTTAAACTCACTCACCAGAGATCAAGCAAACCTACACTGCAATTTGGCACGGGCTTTAGGAGCGAGCTGGAATGATTAATGAGCCACGTGCCTCAGACAGAGCTGCTATGGGCGATGCTGCTCTCCCTCCCCTACCTCCCAGAAGCTGCCGGGTGGCGGTGGCAGCAGCCTGCTTCCCTATTGATTCCATCTCCTTATTAATTTCCCGATCGATCTGCCCACTGCTTCTCACCACGCTAGGCAGACATGATGTTTTGATCTCCTGTCCTTCTGAGGGTGCTGCTGCCACACTGCTAAGCCTCTTGACTGGGCTGTGTTTTCCATCACCTGGGAGCGTGGATCCGTTCGGATTCACCCGGAGAGCAGACACCTGGTGAGGGGTACCTGGGGGGATGTCCGAGAAGCTGGTGGTGTTAGCGCTGAGCTGCTGGTCTGCCCGCTCAATGATGAAGAAATTCAAGGCCTGAGTGCTGCTTCAGCTTCAGCACTTCCATTTTCAGGTCAGACCAGTGGCCAAAAATATTCAGAATCATCAAAATCTGTTAAGGATAGTACAGCTACGAAGTCCCTTCTTTTTAATTGTAGAGTAATTGGTCTATAGTCAGGGCAGAGAGTGCAAAGCTGGAGCCTGTGAGGTTGCATAAAATAGCTGGGACGCTAAATCTGTTCTTATCTGTGAAAGCCCTTTCAGGTACCCACCATCACGTTGCCTGTCCCACATCCATCCCCTTCTCCACTGCTTCAGCACAGCCATCATGCACGACTCAGTAAGGCCTACACACAACTCCCAAACATTTCAGAAGGGGTATGTCTGAAGGGAAAACATGGAATGTAATGCTCCAGAGGAAGACGTACTACCCTCTTTAATGACACTATTTTATTGCATATTACACAGCCTCCAACACCCAGTGATGTGGCTGGGGAGAGGGAGTAAGGAAAGCATAAGCACGGAAGGATGAGGTGGTGGGACCAAGGAGCTGGCAGGAAAGGCTTCTGGCTTGCACTGCAGGCCTTGCTAGGTCTGATAGCAAACATGCAAGGTAGGGGGGACAGGAGATGTCTTTTTGGAAGTGCCAGCAAACCCTGAAGTTACCAAAGCAACCAGAACATCAGCAAGGCCCACTAAGATATGGAGTACCTGGGCCAGTGCTTCTGTGTGGCTTCAAGCCCTGACAGGGCTTTGGGTGCTGTGTAAACAACACCATCAGCACAAACTGTGCTATCTAATGAAGTTGAGGACATGTTTGCAGGCAGTTCTCAAAACAGACTCTTTCATAATTGAAATACTGCAGAGCAGAGGACAGCATTGTAATTATAATAAATGGGTGCTGCTGAGTTAGAGAAGAACAAAGTATTTTGTCAGCAACTCCCATTTCCACAAGCAGAGGCGATGCTGGGAGGAACAAAAAGATGTGAAGTTACTCTCCATACTAGCAAGTACGCTGCAGGGTCTGGAAAATATTTGTTAGTCTCTCTTCTTTTTAACTTCCAATGGCCCTTTCTGGCAATTTGGAGAAAGCTTGGAGAAGAGCTACTTGATGACTGCAAAAACTTGCATAACACAAAGTGCCAGCAGCTACATCCATTTATTGTATCAAACAGCAGATTAAGGGAGGAGCTGATCAGTGTGGCATTTAAAGGTGTAAACAAATCTAATGACTGGAAACAACATTAAACAAATCAGACTAAAAATAAAGGAGGACATTTTCAACAGACAGGGTAATTAACCTTCAGTACAATTTATTGATGGTTGTGCTGAATTTTCCATTCCTGGAAACATTAAAAAATAGGATGGAGGTTTTTCTAAACGACTTCCTAAATCCCCAGCATGGTAAAAGAGAACAGGATGCTACTCAAAAAGCTAAAAATCACCTTCACCCAGTTTCACACAGAACTCAGTGGCAATGATATCCTGTCCTCCCAGCTCACCTGGGTGGGTTAGGAGCCCTTGGGGAGCCTTTGGTATAACTCTGCCGTCAACTGGCAAGACGACAAAACATAGATGTAATTTCTAGAGTTTCCTCCCACACATCAGGAAAGAATATTTCTTGCACCTCTTGACATGCCCTTTTGTGCTGTGCTCTGTTCTTGCTGCCAGAGCCACTCCTGACTTTGTCTGCCCTTTCCACACGTGCCTTTTTTTCCCCGATGGTGTTATCTGCACCCTCCATACTTGCTTTCCCTTACCACCCCCCTCCATCCCAGGACCTACCATGTGCATGGCCTGGGCCAGGAGAAGTTACGTATTACAGTCCAGCCCTTGGTCCAGATTTACCCTGTGTCTATGGGCCAGGCAGCTCACCTTCCTGCTTCAGCTTCCCCCTTTGCAGAACTATGGTAATGGTATTTACCCTGTTACTGCACAGGAGCATTGTCAGCATCAATTAGTTTAGTGTTGTTGCAAAGCTTTGCGGACAGGAGCCTCAATACAAGTAGTAAGTACTATTATTATTGCTCTACTTCAGATGGCTACAGAGCAGGCATTTTCCAGGCATGCACCATTAACAATTTACCAAGATAAATGGCCCAGGAATCCGAAAATGCATTTATGACAACTACCTCCCGCTTACCAGCATACATTCAGCCAAGTAAATGACACCTCATTGCTCAATGTGTAGCTATGGTAACATTTATATCTCATATATTGAAGTGTACACACAAACACACACGGGCGCACGCGGAGCTGGAGGGAAGCCAGGCTCCTTCCTTTAACGAGACACAAACACCGAGCCAAGGAACCTTCCCAACCTCCGAAAGCTGAGCTGCCTCCAGGGAGGGAAATGGGGGGTAAGGAGCAGGCAGCCCTTGCTGGGAAGGGATGAGCTGCCAGCAGGCTGCACAGCACAGCCTGAGCACAGCCGGGGCTTCAAGGAACTTACTTGAGAGCAGTTTTGTAGTGGTAGATCGCTTCAACGTTACGGCCCTGGTCTTTCAGAAAGTTGGCATAGTTGTAGTGCACCTTGGCGTTGTGGGGCAGAGTCTTCACTCCTGAGCTGTGGGGAGGAACAGAACAGGATGGTGTTAGCTGGCCAGGTTACACCACCTCCCCCGAGGTCAAGCTTTTTCTCATTGCTCCTTCTTTAAGGCAAGTTTGGTCATATTTCAAATGCCTTGTTACTTCCATGAGCACAACTCACGTTACAACCACAAGCTTGGCCCACACATGCAAACTGTGCAGTGCACTGGCACACCACACGCCCCCGCTGGACATAAACACGTGGCAGCAATTCACCCAGCCTGGCCTTGGCCACCACGGGCACCTCTAGCACCAACATGACAACGCACCCTGTGGCCAGGTACTGTAGTGTTTCAAAATATAATTTGTTACACTGAAAGACTCTAAAAAGCCCAACAGTTGGAGGGAAAGTATGCAATACTTTTGATAATATAGCTGTAACAGGCTCTCTCATCTCCAGCCCTGCTTAAACTTGGCTGTCACGAAGCGCCGTATGAAATCCTTGATCTCAGCCTGTCAGCTGGAGGTACCAGACAGAAGGTACCTTTTCCACACGCAGCAGCCACTAGAGGGGATGCACAGCATGCTCTGAGCACCCAGCTCGCACAGACACGCAGCACAGCACTGAGCAGAGTAGCACCAGGAGCTGAGGGCTAAGGGGGCTCTTGCCCTTAGCTGGCAAGTCGCACGCTCTCGTGTTATGTGACTGTGGACATGTGGGCGCACAGCCGACCCATCCCTCCCCTTCGTCTTCCTTGCCAGGCAGCTTGGACTGAACGTTTGGAATTAATAATGAGGGCACAAAGACAAAAGGAGGAGAGCAAGCATATGCTTATTTACTTAATTGAGAGCACAGTAAACAAGGTACACCTTGCACAGCCGGAGGAAATGCTCTTTCAAGGTTATAGATAGAAAGAAATCACAGGAGCACGTACACCATGGAAATACTCCCCCTGCAAGAACCCAGAGAAGTCAGAACTCTGTTTAACAGGGGAATCCTTTCCAGCACATAAATAGGAACTCTCTGAGGTAATGGGAAATAAAGATGGATTAATCTGTTCGCGTAAAAGCAGAAATAGCACTGCTCCTCGCTCACAAGCAGATTCCTGCCAGCTGCTGTCTTTTTCCTTCCCATCAGGTCGGAGCCTCCTGCCGCAAGTAGGAAGCGCAGGGATTAGGACATCCCCAAACCTTTTTGCTCTGCCTTGTGTGTCTCTGCCATTTAACTGTGATGGGCAATGAAGTTAACCACAAAAAGATGAGGTCGCACACAGCCTCTACAATGATGAGAATGTACCCACAGATGCCCAAAACCCCTTTGTGAGGGATTTCACTTTAAAATGGCGCTGGAGAGTCAGTCTTAGTGGCAAATACGCCGTCTTTTTGGTTATCTGCAGCCAGTGGTATCAAGCGTCGCTAATGCCTACTTGTGAGAGCTTCCAAAGCTTCGCCCACGGCTGCCTTGCAGAGTTCAGTACAACACAGCCACGGTCTGCCTGCAGAAATCAAAAATACACCTTGCAGTTGGCTTCCTAATCATCAGGTACTTCCAAATTACTTACTGGGAGCACTACAGGAATAAGACATTTTGTGACTAATCGCTGAATTAAATCAGTTAATTGATGCTATTCTTAAGAGAATGATTTTCTATATTAGTTTTCACAAAGATATACTGCACTAGCAGCAAGTAATGTGTGACTGCTATGGCTGTGTTAATTTCCATTGGCCTTGGGAGCTATTAACTACACACTTACAACCTCTGGGCATTACTGGAATATTAATTCTTATACAGAAAGGTTCACATTACATCAGTGACAGCGTTCGAGGCAGAGGCGCAGACAGGGACTCAGAACTGTTACCATCTCAGAGCTGTGTGCCATGAGTTGTTAGCTCTGACAGAGCCCCTGCTGCACCAGAGCACAGCGAGTTAATGGTGAGAAGTATATTACATATGCACAAGCACTGCAGTCCTAACGAGATACTCTTCTAACGGGAAGATGCATATGTTTAAATATTTTAATTCTGGGCTGTTTCCCTTTAAATAGAATTTATTATTAATCCTGCCGGTCCCATCTATTAAAACGTCACTAATAAAGCTCTTTCATCTGCCTGCTTCTGCTGGGGGTGGGGGTGACATAGGAAAGACAGAAACGAGTTTGGGCTCGAGGTTTTACGATGCTCTCTTCTGCACCACACCACTCACGCTCCCTGACCTATTTATTCTCCTTGCATGGGCGAGAAGGGGGGTGTTTGGGTTTGCAAATACACACAGCACTGACTGAGGCTAACCGCTTGGCATCCCTGAACTGTCAGCGGCAGTAGCAAACACGGCGCTGGACGTGGAGTGGATTTTTTTGGAGAGTTTAGGCAAACACTTCTGCTAATTGATTGTCAACCAGCTGAGAACACTGTTTGCTCATTGACGGAGGAAACAATAATGTCCATAAAGAAAGCCAAGAGGGAAAGGGTGGAGTATAAATAACAAAGCAGAATACAATGGCTTTCCATTTCTGCTTTCCGCAAGCCTCCAGCCTCTCACAATTTCAATCTATTTTTCCAGCTCGGTTTTCCAAATGCTCCTATTTCCCTCCTCCCCGGCCCAGCACAAACGTGCCCTTCTGAAAACCCATGGCACCACTCTCCAGCCAGCCAGAAAGAAGTCCACTGAGATCCAACGTCACTTCTCAGGAGGACTTCCTTCCCTCCTGACTTCTACGACAGCAGTAAGTGATATAAATGGAAAATAAACAGCGGGCAAACTGCTTTACGTAACACTTCCTCCCCATGGAAAGGAGAAAGCCTGTTAGTCCTAATGCAGAGAAACCACATACCATTGGCATTTCTAACCCCAAACGCTGTCCTCACCCAAATCCCACTTGAGCTGGAGAAAGTCTCCTGTGATCCTCTCTATGGTTTTCCTCAGTGCCTGTCCTGCTCTGCAAAGTGGCTCTGTGCAGGGCAGAGAGTTCATTGATTTGCTGATTTCCATATGAAAAGTGCTCCCTCCGCAAGGAAATTTGGCCTCTCCTGCATCAGGAGGAGCCCTGGGAGACCGATGGGATCTCCTCTGCTTCAGGAGTCATTATCACCAATAAAAAGTCTCTCCAGCAAGCTGTTCTCTGGATGACACAGACAACTGCCTTCCCTGGCCTCCTACCCTTTCATTGATTTTCACGGATGCCAGCGTTGGACTCTTCAAACAGCTCCACAGAAGATGCACAAAATGTGATGGGAGTTGCCCTGTTCAGCTGAGCTGGCTTTCAGAATTAAGGAAAGCACACAGCAGTAAATGTCGCCTTTGGAGTTGTTTGTCTGTTTGTTGTTGTTTGTTTCCTGTTTCTTTTTGGTTTTGGCTGTTTGTTTTTTATTATTTGTTTGTTGGTTTTTGTTTTTGTTTTTTTCACATTACTGAAGGCAGCAGACCTGTCTTGGGGAGGGAGAACTGCTGACTAAGAGCCACTTTTCTACAGCTCCTTTGCTGGCTACCACTGCACTTCCAGACGCTGTCACAAATGCGGGCTGTGCACGCAAACGCTTTCCAGGAGCAATAGGAAACGTGGCAGCTTCACGAGCCCTGAAAAGGTCGGTACAGCGGATGCAGAGGTTAGCCTGCAGCCCTCACCTCCCTTGCCCTGACTTGAGGCATTCATGCTGACTGCAGTTGGAGCCTGACCTCCTGGCTGGTGCATTCACTCCACAGGGCAATTCCCTAAATATTTAACAAACAAGTTCTCCTTGCCCACCTGCCAATTCAGTCAGACAAACTGCTCGGGGCTTCTCGATATCTTCTCGAATAATTTGCCTCAAATGGCTGTATCTATACATTTGGCCACTTTTTATACTTGTGGCTCAGTTGCTTCTCATTTAGTCCTTACACACGTGCTTGTGCATAGATGTGTAGATGCATCATTTTCTCACCCTCTCCCATACCTGAGGGAGCAAAGACCCCGAGGGATTTCTGCATTTAGCAAACTTGGACCCCACACTGGAGACAGAGAGTTGTGGCAGCCCACTGGCTGAGAGGTGATGGTGCTGACACTGGCAGCATCATGTCAAAGCACGGTAAGCCTTGAGAATGAGACAAGAAGGGGTTCAAAGCACAAAACTGGTAACATGTTGAATATATCTACATCTCTCCGGGACAAAAAAGAAGTGTAGAAAAAGCAGGTGTAACAGAACCGAGGAAACTAAGACAGATAGACACTGAACAAACACATTTAAGTAAATGGAGGAATTGAAAGTAGAAGTGAAGAGGAAAAACTAGGGGGGAAAAATCAGTAATTAATGAAAGCAGTAAGTGAAAGAAGAAAAATGGAAAACTAAAAATGTGAATAAGGATCCTCTCAGCACATACTTCTTAAACACACACAGAGAAACGACCAAGCAGGTTGATTTATGTCTCCTTTCCCCCATCTATAGATTAGCTGTTTCCTTATTATTTTCTCTCATACTGCTTTATTGTTCCTTATCTCCTCTTCCTTTTCTGTTATTTCTAATTTATTGCTGTTGCACATACCTCCATCCACTTCTCCCTCCTTTCCTGCTCTCCACCTCATCCTACACACAGCCTCCTCCTGCCCCAAAGACAAGATCTCCCACTCTTGGGATGAAATTATCTTCTTGCTATACTGTTCTTCTTTTGTATTTCCTTCCCATCCTACCATATTATAGCCTCTCAATAGATGTATAACACATATCAGGCCAGCATGGTCAAATAACATAATAAAGAAGGCTACAAGAAATGAGGAAAAAAAAAAGAACTGGAAGTAAGACTAGAATAAATTTAAGAAAAAAAAATGCTAAAAACATCAAAGCTAATAATGAGATACATCAGATAAAGGAAACCTGCCAAAGATCCCCTGAGGCCAATATACAATGGAGGTCTAAAAGTAATGGTTGAAGACAAAAAGGCCACAGCAGAAAAGCTCACCACAGGAGAAGTGAACTTCCTCACAGGGGCAAGTCCAAAGCACTGTCTCAAACTAAAGAGGCACTAAAAGAAGCTTTCAAACAAATCAACCCCAAGAACACTTACAAATCCATAGGGCCTGCCAGTATTCATCCAAAGGAAATCAAATGTGAAGCTGCAATTAGCGGCAGTATGCAACCTATCATTTAAATGAGCCTCAGCACTGGAGAAGTGGGGGGTGATGAACGTGATGTTATCTGCCTCCAGCCAAAGGATATGGGGAGCGACAGACCACCAAGTCTGATTTCCACTCCAGTTAATTTGGGATAAATTGTAATACGCCAGACCTAGCACACTTCTGGAGAGCACTAATCCATCAGGGAAGAATTAACCTTGCATTTTGCAGAAAGAAGTTAGAGGGATGGATCTGTTGTTCTTTGATGGGCTCAAAAGGGATGTGGTACTAAAGCCATTGAAAGCTTTTGTGAAAATCTAAATATAGCCTAGTCGGTTGCAAACACATATCCCAGAGCTGCACACCTAAATGTTCAAAAAGGCTTTTGATAAAGTCCCTCACCAAAGACTTGCAATTTCTTAAAGGCGTCATGGAATAAGAGGAAAGGTCCTCTTGTGAATGAATCAATGCCTACTTGAAAGACAGCAAGTAAAGAGTGAACAGTTTTCATAATTGGAGAAGACTACAACCAGGGTTTCCAGGAGACGTGCACTGCCACTTGAGCTGCTTCACATGTTCACAAAGGATCTGGAAAAGGGAGCAAACAGGGAGGCAACACATTTGCTGATGACAACGACATGAATCACACTGCAGGAACTAAAGGGAACTACAAAATCTTGCAGAAGGATCTCACAGCACTGAAGGCTGGAAAAAAAAAAGTGGCAGATGCAATGCACTTCTGGTACAGGCACAAGTTCAGACTGATGTCTGTAGATGAGACGTTTCCACTCACAATAGGTATCTTGGAGTTCACGTGGGCAGTGCTGTGAAAATATCAGCCAGTGCTTAGGAGTGGTCAGAAAAGGAAAGTGGAAGATTAGGAATTAATAGGAAAGGAGTAGAGAGCAACAACCAGAAAACAGCCCTATGCTACTGTGCTGCAGATGTCTCCTGCAAGGTGTACGTGGTTCTGGTCTCCTTCTCAAAAGGACAGGTTAGTTTAAAAGCATCCAGCAAAAAGTGACAAGATGGATCAGAAGTCACTGATTTGGAAGCAGAGCAGCTTCCACATACGGAGAATTCAAAACCAGCAGACTCCAGCACAAAAGAGAGGCAGCCCTGGTGAGGGAATAGGGGAGAGGCTGGGCTGTAAAGGCATGAAAGGCACAGGAAAAGTGCCAAGCTGGTGGGTTACTCCCTGCTCACTCGAAACACCAGGACTAGGTGATGCCAAACAAGGTGATCAGAATGTTCACAGCACAGAGAAGTCTCCTTGCACTCACTGTGTAATTTAAGGATGGAGCCCAGTGCACAGGATGCTATGGAAGCCAAAACTATAAATAGATTTGAAAAAGCAGTCAAAGACATTAATGGAAGAAAAGTCTATCGGTGGCTGTTACATGCAAAAAAAGCATCTGACTCCTGACTCAGGAAGTCTATAACTGGAGATTACTGCAAGCTGGGAAAGGACTGAAGGAAGCATCGCTGCTGCTGCTCCTGTTCTCACACTGCTTTTCCAGGCATCTGCAGCTGGCTGCTCTCAGAGGCAGGACATGGCACCGGGTGACCCAGCAGGAGCACACCTACGTTCTTGCCTTCTCCTCAAAAGTCCAGGGCAGAAAAGTCCATCCTCAAAAGAGCTGAGCTGAAGAGCAAGCTGGCTCAACCCCAGCCACCAAATCCCCAGCTCAGGGCAAGGTGCAAGCTCTGGCTCAGTACTGCACTGAGGCAGCGGCACAGTCTCTGAATTTGATCTGTCTTGCAGAAGTCCACCCTGCTTTGAATGGAGGCAGGATGGACACAAGCCTATTTGCATCCAGTCAGACAGACAAAACCTTTGCTTTCTTTTCTGTGACAGACCCCTGGACACACCGTACCATCCCCAGTGTGAGATGCCTCCTCTCCTCCTCCAGCTTGACTTCATCTCTCTTAAACCCAGGTGACCACAACTGCGTGCTACGTGACACCAGACAGTGCCTGAAACACGACGCATGGAATTGCCATCTGCCCACCCCCCTTTCTACAAGAGAGCGATCCAATTTGGAAAGCCGTCTGCCTTTCCTGCGAGCGGCCACCGCTCACGTGGCGGACTGGAACCAAGGCCTAATGGCTTGGACTGGGACCACGTTCAGCACGGAGCTGCGAGAGCCCAGAGCAGTCACCATGGCTTCGAGTGTTTGAACAGCAAACAGCGCTTCGGGGAGAGGGGCAATGAATCACGCTGGAGTGAAGAAAACCCTGCTCCAGCTTTTATTTTTTGTTTAATTCCCACTAACAGAGCTCCAACCGCTTCAACAGTGTGTCCTGAAGACTGAAGAGCACACATAAAAAGTAATTTCATACTCCTCAGCGCCGAGTAAATTAAACTTTGCTCTGGCCAATAAGTTAGAAAATAAAGCTAAGCAACCGGGGTGCAAATCACCTGTGTTTCTACAATTACCTCACAATTAGACAACTGCTGAAAGCAGCTGGAGGCAAATGCAATACATTTCCTAGCAAAACACAAAATGAAACAGTCTGTTTCGATGCAAAAAATATATATAAATGAGGTTGTAAAGAGAGCTGTTTGGCAAAGAGTAATCAAATAAAATGAAATATGGTACATTAAGCTTGGCACTTTGTTGCATTTCATTTTTGTCGTTAAGAACATTGCTAAGGAAAATTCGATATATTCAATAGTGTTACTACGGTGTTTTGTAGGGTTGCAGCAAAATTCTGCTACGTCTTTAAAAAGAAAGCGTTACATTATTGGTAAATCTACAGAACTGAAGTTATTTAAAAACAGAGTGTCTTAAAAGTGCTGTTGCTAGAACCAAAGTTTGTGGGTACACATCTAAAGTGCTGACACCAGTTTCTGCACAGTTGCCAGAAAACAGAAAGTAGATGATGGTGTTCTTTTGCTTTTTTTTTTTTCCAATATATAAAAATCAAAATATTAATCACACCATTGCATTAATAGCAGGACCAGTCCCTGAGCTAAAGCAAACTATTTACTCCATGCAACAAACACGTACGACTTATTTGAAACAAAAATGCAAGTATTTTCACATGGCTGCTCATACCTGAAAAGGGACTCTCTTGAGAGCCAGATTTCATTCTGTTTCACGGTCTTCCAAGAGAATAGCAGCAGCAGTAAAGCGAAGAGGGTCAAAACAGTAATTCTCCACTTATTTAACCATGTAGACAGCTTCTTTAGACCATGGACAAAAAGGATGCAGTACCCCATACTGGAAAAAAGAAAAAAAAGAAGAAATGGAAAAGGTACAGTTGTATTCCGGTACTCTGGTTTGGACACAAGACCATTCAGTATTGCATTTATTACATGATTAAAGTTCGGGTTGTGTTGTGTTTTTTTTTTTTTGACTAATTATGTTTTCCAGGATAACAAAGTCAAATTCAGCAGCGTTTTTCCTCAAGTCACTACACAATTTCCCAATTAATCTAAATGACAGCCCCAGATGCCAGAAGTGTAGCAGTGTACACAATACCACGCGGCATAATGGTAGCTTACCCCACTCTGCGGAAGGCAGCTGCTTTTCCGAACAGAGAGCTAGGGAAGCCTAATGTAATAACAGTCACACTGAGTGCTACCAACGCGGTTTGCCAGTGAAAAGCATTACAGCACAATGAATTCTCTGAACAACCCCACTGGTGGTTGCTATTAATGCTGGTCTGCAAATGGTGAAACCCAGGAAGGGGAGCGAGGGTTTTGCCCAGAGCTGCGGCAGGAGGGGCTGTCAGGGGCCACCCCAAGAGGTAGGAGCCCACGCTGGGGTCTTGCATGTGGCTCACTGCTCCCCCTCCCCATGCCAGGACTTTATGGGAACTGATCTGGGGTCGTTCATACTTTGTGGTCCCCCACAAGCTGCATGTGGTCCCAGTCTGGTAAAGGACAAGGGAGGACACTGCTGGGTGACCCCGCTGCCTCTGTGAGAGGTAATGACACCAGCCGTGCCCATCGTGTCTGTGTGCTTCAAAAGGCTTGCTGATGGCAAACAATGAGGGAGGGATTCACCTGACAGCAGCATAACTGCAGTTCAGCTCTCGGCTGATACCGCCAGTGCCCATAAATTCACGCACTGCACTCGGGCAGTGAATTACTGCACCTCAACCTCGTACTGCAGCTGTGCAATTTTTTAATTTATTAAAATCCTGGAAAATAATGGTATTAACAACAATGAGGGGAGCAGTAGCCAACGATGAAGTTTTTCATTTGATACGTGTGATTACTACAAGATAACCTGAGCAGAAACTGGTTATATCCAGTTATACTGTAGTATAACTTTAGACCCATAATTATTTATTACTCAACTGAAATAGTTTATTCTTCCAGTGACCCCTCAATGAATTGGAAGTGGAGTGCTTTCGGTTGCTTTACTTCGTATACTGCTTAGCATTTTTTACGAACTTCCATTTCTATTGCCTGACAGATTTCATTAGCTTATCTGCAACTATTTAATGCAAAGTACCACATATTGGACTACAGCTTGATATACCCTCGCCAGATAAAGATTTAGCTTCAGGCTGAAAAGCTATCTTTGTCCCAGCAGCCCCCTCTGAAGAAAAGAGGGAGCAGAAGGATTTGGAAAAATACTTAGGGATGATGGATTCACTGGGTCAGAAGAGCAGCCTTCCCAGGCACTGCCACTCCTTGAATCCCAGCTGAATCCTACACCTGGGCCCAGGCAGGCTGGCAGCAGAGCTCGCACCCGCTCTAGCTGGAGCTCTGCATGCTTTTTGTGGACTGTACATAGAGGCCTGAGCAGCTTCCAGGTGGGACTGCTACAAGGGTAGAAAAACTAAGAGCACAGTTCCCCAGTCAGAGGTAACATCGCAAGCAAGCAGGTGACGTGGCAAAAGTCTATCTGGAAATCAGAAAAGGAAAAATGTCTCGTCTTCAAGGAGCTGTGAACGTGCTTCCCTGCACAGTTTCTCTGCCCCCACGAAGAGCCAGGCACGATGCTCCACACAGCTAAAATGCTAAATGCAGAGGGACGATAATCCTTGCTCTTACTGAGCACACTTTCACACGCTGATCAGTTTGTACGGCCTCTGTTGTATGAGCTGACCAGCATCAGGCAGTAGTGCCATCCCTGGCAAGGTACAAGTGTCCTTTAGGACCCTGGGTGAAGTACAGACATCAGGGACAAATCTACAAACCATCCATTCTAGTGCTCAACCAAACTCTTTCATCAGTTTACAGTTTCCCCATTTTTCAGAAGCGGTTATCGATCCTTATTTTCACGTAGCTATGCTTGCATTTTGCTGCAACCCATTTCTTATGGCACTTGCAGTGTTTTTTTTCCATGAATTCTTCTGCACACATATGTTTATTGCACCTACATTAATTGCAAGCAGACATTTAGAGCTACAAACTGAGATGCTGGTGCCAAACAACCCAGCCTTTATAGCTGTTGAACCCTACTTTAAAACCTCTGAAAAGCTAATCTCGGTAATAAGCCCTCCCTTTCCAATAAGAAATGCCTCAAAAACCTGCAGACTGTTTTCACTCTGTTATTTAGCCTTTCAGCAATTTAATCCTTCCCTTGGAATTAATTATCTGACATAAACATTATTTAATTGCTTTAGCACAAAGCTGTTTTCAAAGGACATTCCCTACACCTTCACATATTGAAGAACAGGCCCTTTCAAACAGAATGGTGAACGCGTCCAGAAAACAAAATATGCAAACGTCAGTGTCTTGGTATTTATATCAAACCCTGCCCCAGCTGCTGGGAATTTCAGCCTCAGCAGCACAGCCAGAGGAAAGGTGCTGCTTCCAGGGGCTATTTTCTAACATCTGTGACATTTCCACAGTAGTTGCACGTTGATGCTGGATCCTACAGAGAAATAAGGCTCCATCCCAGACTGCATTTACCCTCTGAGCTGCACAGACAGTGCTGTAGTGCAGGTACACAGCGGTGCCCAGCTCCTAAATGGCACTTTGCAAGGGAGACCCTCTGCAATGTTCCTCATTTTACAAAGCAAGGGCCCGAAACATGTGGCAATGAAGCAGTTTGCTCTGCTGACAGGCAGGAAGGAAGCTGGAAAAGGATGAGAGAGTATGAAGTAGGTAAATACCTTTATTTTCGGAATCTGCTAAGTTTTATTAAAACTTCAGACCATTCCCTGTCTCAGATCATCAAGGAAAGGCTGGGGAGGATGTGGCTGCATTGCCTTGTCAGGCAGGGGCCCTTCAGAGCAGATGTCAGGTAGAGCTACATCTCCACATAGCTTTTTCTTTGACGTGGCCATTTCAGCCCCATCCTCTGGCTGAGGGTGGATGCCACCTTCCTGACTTCAGGTCTCTTGCAGACTCTGAAGTTACAGAAAGCACTCACACATCCTTTGCTGCCAGGGAAGCATGTGCATTTCCAATTTCTGTGCCACAAATTGTTTGCGAAACAACACCTGTATGCAACTTGCCCATATCGATTAACCTTAGTACTTTTTGCACCTCTCCCCCAAATCCACTGTTCTGGGCTGAACAAAACACAAAGGTGTCCACATCAATGTGCTACGCATCCCTCAAAGGAACCATAATTATATTACTACTGTTTCATTTCCCCACTTACTACTATTACTCTACAACCCACTTGTTTCACACCAGACTAAGCAATCCCGGTACAGGAATTAGCTCCTGCACACAGCCCAGGATCACTCATCCTCCAAGTTTTAAGCAAGTTGGTAGCGGTCCAGGCAGAGGTGTGGTGGTAGGAAGAGCACATACAGGTGAGACTGCTCTTACCTGATTGAAGTAACTTGCCAAGTGACTCTAAGACAATTCCTATGTGGTTAACTCTGCCATGACCCTGCCAACACCTACAAACATATCCATTGCTTCAAATACATTAGCTTTTCTCCTCAGAGTGCTAGGGGACTCAACTCCATACCAAAAATTATGCTAGCTCTCCAGGAAATCAGATTTTACTCACATGCATTTAAGAATAAAAATAAAAAATAAAAAGTCTCAAAAGCACCTTTCATCAGAGACCCATTTACCACCTAAAAAAAGTATTGCAATACTACATTCTAGACATCTTCACGGCTATCTGCATATGCAGCAGTAGAATTTGTTTGAGGTGAGGATTTTTTGTTAACTGTAGCATTTCCTAGGGAGCTAAGGGAGCCATTTCTCTTTGAAAAGTTTTTGTTCTGGCATTGTCATCCCCTGTCATACCAGCACCTTTCTAATCTAATATGTAGTCAAAACAAAGCAGTGGAAAACAAGCAAAATCCCCAACCCGTTATTATTTTTAAGTATATTTTCCACTGGATTATTGTTAAACTGCTTATGCTTTTTTGTTCTTCTTCCGTAGAATAGGGAACAACTTGCTACAGCAGCTGTCCCCCACTGTGCAAAGTCTGTGACAGATCAGCCCTGGGGTCAGATTCAAGGCAGGACCCGAGGAACAGGTAACACAGGAAGCTTTAGCACAGGCTCACAATGAGAATACTTATTACAGAAGAACCTGTGGCTTCAGAAATTCAATGATGCTGCAGGAGAGCTCCCACAAGAGGTTCTGCTTGGCACACAAACCCCCAGGTTTCATAATTCCTCAGGTTTTGGACTCTTACTGTACAGAAGCGGTACCTTGGTAAGGCCCTGAATTACAATGAGGGCAGGGCTGCACTTGGTAGGCAAACTCTGTGCACCACTTACAAGTGTTTCTGGCAGATGGCACACAGGGAGCTGTGCAATGGCAGGTTTTTGTCCATAATTTCTGCAGCTTGTTAATATTGTTCCACCTGCAAGGAAGTGAGAGGAGGCACAAACAGATGGGAATGAGGTGGCACGCAGACCCCATCTCCCACGGTGCGCTACACATAATGCCCAATTAAAACAAGCCAAAACAGCAGATAATTAATATTTGCAAACACTTCTTCAGCAATTAGATCACAAAATCAACCTTTTCTTGGGCCATTATGGCTCCTTTCCCCAGCCGAAGCTGTTACTGCTGACGCTTACGCCGTTATTCCTCTCTCCCGATTTGGACGTGGCACCTCATTTTTCATTAAGAAGTCAAGAGCGGCTTCGCTGCACTTGGCTGTTGGCGACGGTGTCTCACCGGAGACACGCTGTGGTTAGCGCTGCAGCCCAGGCTTGCTGGCGTGCTCTGCTGCAGCAATCTGCCCGCGCTGGAAACCATCTTACCTCCTCCTCTGGGAAGCGCGGGGAGCCCTCCTGCTGCAAAACGCTCCCGAAAGCCGAGGCGTGTTTTAGTCA